CACCATACACACACCACACACACACACACACACACACCACACACATATACACACACCATACATACACACCACACACACACCACATACACACACACCACACAGACAGACACACACACACCACACAGACACACACCACACTACACCAAAAGAACAACAATAACAACAAACCCACATATTGGTTTAATTACTCAGCTCCGCTGGGAAGTTAGGGAGGAACCACCATCGCCCCCAAGATGCTCTAAGTGGTACATTTGTTTCAGTTGGTTTTGAAAGGTTGCTTTATTTTAAGAAGGGAACAATGAAAATGTATTTGAAGACTATTTTATTAAGGGCAGTTTTGAATGATTGGAAAAATCCTTAGGCATAGATGATGCTCTTTAAGTCAACTGCAAGTTAGTCTTTCGGGTTTATGATCTTAGAATTCACAGTGACACCTGCTGGTAACCTTGAAAGTCCTTTTCTATTTTGTTTCCTTTTCTCCTGGTATCTAGAAGTTATCTTAAAGACTTGTTGGAATTCTCTATTTTTAAATGTTCTACTTTTGAGGTGTTGTTATCCTCCAGAATTAACATTCAACTATTTAACTGCTCTAGACTTTAATAGTAATGACAAATGAAGGTACCTTAATGAAATAGATCATTAATCAAGGGTAGAAATCAAGCAGGGAATCTGAGAGTTTTGCAGTTGGCATACTGTTCGTGGGATGATCTCAGGAAGATAAGTGTTCTTACTATTTAACGAATCATTTCTTCGGCGCCTTGTTCTGGTCTTCCGAGTTACAAACTGAGGTCATTGACTGTGTCATAGTCACTGATGCTTTTATATAAAGTTTAGAAAGACTTTGGAGGCTGTTGAGATGGCTCCAAAGTTAAGAGAAGGGACCAAACTTGGTCCCAGCACCCACACTGGGTGGCTCACAACAGTTTCAGCAGGTTCTGGTGCCCTGACCTGCATAATTACCTGCATGCATGTGTGTGCAGCACACACACACACACACACACACACACACACACACACACACACACACGTACCCACACAAGCACACATGCACATGTACACACACACAATTAAAGTTTAAAGTAAAAGGCATTCAGTTTTTTCCCTCTGATGAAATTAATCAGAATTTTATAATGAGAGACAAAATTAGAGATGTAGTCCTGAGTTCAGTATATAAAGTACAAGTTAGTTTCTGCAGGATTCATGAGACTTTATTATTTGATTCTGAAGGGATCTGCTAAGTTGGAAAAGGCTGAAATATTGCAAATGACAGTGGATCATTTGAAGATGCTTCAGGCAACGGGGGGTAAAGGTAAGAGTGGGCACCACTGTCCACCCCCTTTCTAACTTTCTCTCTTCATTTCCCTCTCCTGTTCTAAGGAAGTTACAGTTGAGCAGCCCTCTAACAAGCTGAGAGAGGCAGTCCCAGATTAAAGCTGTGGAAATCAATGCTAATGGCGGGATTGAACTCGTGGGAAAGGACTTCCAGAACAAAAGCAGCACTTGACCCTGAACTTGTGTTTGCTTTCATAATACTGTGGGAGTAAAGCTCCCTGCACAGCAGCCTGGTCAGAGATGTGTTTGGGATTTGAGAAGTGCATGCTGGAGTCTGAACAGAAAAACAAAACAAACACACCAACAGCCAAATATAAACAAGGCTGCCCCCTCCCCCCCCCTCTCTCTTTTTCTCTCACTTTCATTAAATCAAGGCTAGGACTCAAATTACTTAGTTATTTAGAGGAAGTGACTCTCGAATTATTTTGTTGTTGTTTCCCAGGCCATTTTGGCCTGTCTTGACTTTACACCAACCACAACATTTGAAGTACAGGTACTGAATCTCTACTGGAAAGAACAACAAAACGATCTGTTCCTGCGGAGAACTCCAGGAGTAGATATCCAGGCCTAGCCCCATGCCGTGGTAGAATGTCCTCTGTACGGAACAGTACATTAGGGAAGAGTTGTCAGGTCAGAGTAGGACCCTCACACTAAAAATAGACGAAACCGTGAAAGCTGAATATTCACTCATATTTCATGATCCCGCTTCCTCCCACCTCGCTCAGACTTCATGCTGCCCCTTCATAGCTTTTTCCCTCTTTGATTAAAAGATGCCTTTGATACTCATCTCAGCCAAGTCTATCTGACAACGGAATACGGAGAGAAAGCCTCAAGCAGTTAAGTGCTGCAGCTGAATGCTGAGGGCCTCCTCAATGCATCATAGGCTTCCTCTACAGTCTGCAGGTCCTAGATCTGGGGCAGGACAGAGCAGGGAATAGAGGCAAGTCATTTTTACTAATCTGAAAACTGATAGAATGCCAGCCTTGACCCAAACCATCTTCTGCTCATGTCAGTAGAGGAGATTACTATGCATGATGTCTATATGGTCCATTTGCCTCAGGTCCCAAAGTCCCAAGAAACTGTCTTGAATGAACGAAGAATAGTATAGGATGCAAATATTCTCGTAACATAGAAGCTAATGGTTAAATCCTAGAAGTCGGTTGTCCTGCCCAACTTGACTACAACCTTTGACCTGAGTTGGAGGCAACCTGATGGGCTTCGAGGGTTAAACCAGCATCATGTGCTCCACAGGCCCTAAGTACCGTGACTGCCTCTACACCTGCCACCTCGGGATTTCAGGAGAGCAGTGAAGTTAGATGCAGTACAAGGAAAGCTATGTGATTACCCTAGCTTCCTTCGAACTGGTATCCGTGAGGTGAAGAATTGCTGCTACCAGAGCGCCAAATATTTGGCATGAGTTGCACTTCTAAAGTCCTGTGGCTTCACGCCAAGTGTTATCTTAGTTCTTATCTGTGGCTACTTGAGGAGTCCTCCAATCCGTCCCAGATTCGTTGGTGAACAGTCCTTTCCAACCAGATGCCATGTGAGTCACCTGACTTCGGGATCACGGGAGAGGCCATTGCACAGAAGAACACGGAAGCCTTGAACAAGAGGGGCTGCCAGTGTTGCCTCACGCGCCTAGACTCTCGGTTGTCCCTAGCGTCGTGGCAAAGGGCGTGGACTCTAGAGCAGTTGGCCGATGGTGGCTTCTGGTTCTCCGGTTCATTAGCTCTGTCCCTGGGGCTAAGTTAACTAATGTCTGAGCACCAGTTTGATCATCTATAACACAGAGGCAGTGATGAAGGGCTCCTCCCAAGTGGTTGTAAATCACCTAATTGACTTGAAGGCCATAGAGCTGCACTGGTACAGAGGAAGTGGTTATGGGCACGTGTTATTGTTGGCTTAAGACCCACTTAAAGGAGACAGCTGCTCATCATTCCCCTCCTGTTCCAACAATAGAATGGGAATTGCACAATTCATATTCCTTAAGATGCAACAAGATGCAGCCATATACAGCCACATAGTTAGCAAACCTCAAATGTCACTTACTTTACAACCACCAGTGAAATTCAAAGAAGCTAGTGTGTCCCTTTCAGTCTTCCGTAGAATTATGGTCGTTTCTTGAGAGAAACTCAAATTCTTGACATTTTCAATCATCTCTGAACTCTGATCATTACCTCCCTCCTTCTGTTGTGAAACTCAGAAGCTCAGGACTGATAGGGACCCTAAAGACGGGCGTGTGCAATCTCTCTGTGGAGCATCCCTCATTATGGAGCAGCTTTTCCTCGTAATTCCAGGGACTTTGCTTGATGACTACTCCAGGGTCTGGGGATGTCAGGGCTGATACCCCACCTTTCATGACAGTTCAACTTGCTCAACTTGGTGCTGTTTGTTTTCCTGGTGGTTGTGTCTGCTCCAAAACCTCTTTTTTCCCCCTCCACATTATTCAATAAATATAACAACACTCTTTCATAATGCTTCTATTATGAAGTAGTCCGAAGGAAATGGGCCAATTTTGCTCTGCAAAAAAGCATAAAATGATATGTCATAAATGCTTTCGATGAAAAGACCCTAATTTGGATTAGTGAGGTAGCTCAGAGGCAGAGTGCTGGCTTAGAACAGGTCCAGTCATGGAAAAAGCCCAGTAAATTACCAACTTTGTGAGATTTTTTCTATTTTTTTTCTTTTTCTATTTTCATAAAAAGTATTGTTGAGGAAAGTCATTACCCCACAATACTAAAGCTAAGACATGCCCTCACACTCGGGGGGGGGGGGGGGGAGGCGGTATTTGAAACATGAATGTCCCTAGTTTATTTTTCCTCTTGTGGCATTTAGATCCTAGAACAACTATCACATTGCTAAAGTTGTCATGCATGCCACCTGCAAAGCATCCTTTCTTTACTCATGCAAAACAATTATGAACATAGCAGCCATTGTGTTTTCAGAAAGAGCCATCTTATCTCTTCCTAAGACCAGAGTGGAACCTAAGTGGGTGGTTTGTTCTTCAAAGCCCGACCGATCCGTTTTCCTCCTTTTGCTCCCTCACCTCTGACTCTCCTCAACCCTTCTCCAGGCTACTTTGATGCCCATGCTCTCGCCATGGACTTCATGAGCATTGGATTCCGAGAGTGCTTGACCGAAGTGGCCAGGTACTTGAGCTCCGTGGAAGGCCTTGACTCATCAGACCCACTGCGCGTGCGCCTCGTCTCCCATCTCAGCACGTGCGCCTCCCAGCGGGAGGCGGCCGTGATGACGTCCTCCATGGCCCACCACCATCACCCCCTGCACCCCCACCACTGGGCAGCCGCCTTCCACCACCTCCCCACAGCCCTGCTCCAACCCAACGGACTCCACACGTCGGAGTCAACCCCGTGCCGCCTCTCCACGTCGTCAGAAGTGCCTCCCGCCCACGGCTCTGCCCTGCTCACAGCCACGTTCGCCCACGCCGATTCTGCTCTTCGGATGCCCACGACAGGCACCGTGGCACCGTGTGTGCCGCCTCTCTCCACCTCTCTCCTGTCTCTTTCGGCCACCGTGCATGCCGCAGCCGCAGCGGCCACCGCAGCTGCCCACAGCTTCCCTCTGTCTTTCGCAGGGGCCTTTCCCATGCTCCCCTCCAATGCAGCAGCCGCAGCCGCAGTGGCTGCAGCCACCACGATCAGCCCACCCTTGTCAGTGTCGGCCGCCTCCAGTCCTCAGCAGACAAGCAGTGGAACAAACAGTAAACCTTACCGACCCTGGGGGACAGAAGTCGGAGCCTTTTAAGTTATTCTTATTTCTTGCCATCGTAACTGAATGTCCTTCATTTCAGAATCAGCTTCAAACCTCTGCACCCTGAAGGTAGCCATACAGATACCTACAGATCCACACAGCAACAGTAAAGCGATTTGAGAAGCAAACTTCACAAACGGAAATGTAGTGTTATCCTTTTTTTTTTCCCCCTTTGTTTTAAGACAGCATGGCAACTGACATCCGCAACTTTAAAAAACGTCACATCTATTTCCATATAAACTTTCCTGGAAAATATATGGATGTCACCAGCCAACGGTATATCAATTCATCTGACTTGGAAAAGAAAAAAAAAATGCCATAACTGAATTCTCCTAAAATGAGAAGGGAGATTAAAAAAAAAAAAAAATACCATGTTTTCTAAGTGCCTGAGCTAAGGAATGTAATGTAGCACAAGACCAGAAGGGCATAGCTGTAAAGTTGAGAAAGGGAAGGAACAGACAGCATGGATGAGAGCTGTACAGCACACAGTAGTGCCCTTTTGAAACCAACAGGTTTTATTGGCCATAAAGATTAATGAAAATTAAGTTGAAAGACATAGTTTTGCCTTCTGTAAACAGACTTGCCAAGCAGGGATATTTAGCAATGCATTGATAGAAAGAACAGTTCCACCGGAGCCCACATGAACAAGTATTTCTGCTCTGCCTTCAAGCTCACACACACTCTAGTGAGACATGGCTTAGAACACAGCACTTCTCTGTGTAAACTTACAGCTGTACAATGCACCTCGAGGCTGCTGTGTGCCCACCAGAGGCTCATTCATGCCAACTCAAACTCTTCAGTTTGCAAGGTTGAATTAATTTATTCAGTTTCATTTGGGCTGCATTTATAGAGTTAATTTCTTCAGTTTTCTTCTGACAACATGAAATGTCTGTTCTTGTCCCTTTTTGGGGGGGGGGGATGTTGCATTTCTGGTGGTAATGAGATGAGAGAGGATTTAGACAAGAAAAGCTCCATGACTTAAATGCCCTCGGTCGAGTTAGGAATTGCATTTGATCCCAAATCACAATGAATGTATGCAATGAAGTGTACATAAATTATTTTTGTCCATGCCTAGACTAGAGCTACATAATGGTGTTTTGGTTTTGATTTTTTTTATCTTGTTTAAATGACAAAATAATCTCTTAATATGTTGAAATTGAGCACGTGAGATTTTTATATTTGAAAGGTAAAGACACAGCATGTATTCTTATGCACTACATTTCTCTGCTGTGTGGAGAAAGCAATAAATGAGAATGTTAAACATTATGCAAGGTTATACTCATAAATATTTGTTTTAAAATTACTGTACCTAGTCTTCCCTGCATTACTTTGTAACCTTTTTCTATGCAAGCCTCTACATATCACTAATTAAATGAAGTCCTCTTTGACTACTTCATGTGGATGAGTTGCTTTTCAGAACGGCAAGTTGACGTGCCTTTCACGTGAGGCTTCCTTTTACTAACTCTTTAAGCCATGGTTTTGTATCATGTATTTCAAACTCATTTGATGGATGGAATTCACATCTTACTTGAAAATAAACTTTATGGAGCTTATAGATTAAAAACATAGGTAAGAATTGTAAAGGCAAAAGGTGATCCTTTTCCTCTGTCTTTTGTTGCTTCTTCCTTATTTATTTATTGACAAGGTCTTGCTGTGTAGCCCAACCTGGCCAGGAATTTGCTACATAGCTGAGCCTAGGCTTAGAGACAGAATGGAACTGAGACTTCTGTATCCCTCAGTAGTATAACACTTTAAAATAGCTTATTAGTTAATGACTGTTGGCAAAAGCATGAAGAAACATCATGGATATACAATAGGCATGTACATGCATCCTGACAGTGAGTCTTCTGTCTTTGAAAGTTTCATTGCTAAGTTGGAGATGTGGCTGTGGCCCCCTCTACAGAGAAGGCTAAAATCAGGGAGCACTCCTAAAGCCATGGGCCAAAAAAAAAACACCCAAAATAAATAACTAAATAAAAATAAATCTTTGCATCCTTCATATCAAAATGCTCAAATGAAAAAGTTGGGATGGAGGGACTTTCACAGTATTCTGGTTTTGAAAAATGAAGTAGATAGTATCACTGCGGGGAGGGGTTCTGTCTTGTGAAGCTGTGTGTACTGCTTTCTGGTGCGATGGTTTTCACGTTCATTACAAAAACAAAAAGAATTTGAGCCTTTTAAAGTTATTTTAGGGGAAAAGAAAGAACTTTTAGGTATCGATTTGTTGGTGCGCTTTATGTAAAAGTTGGTTCCAAAATCAACTCAAAGGTGTTTTAGTAGAATAAAAGGGGGGAGGAGCAGTTTGGGTTTCCCCCAAACTCAGAAGCTATGCATGTGCACAGCTAGAACATAGCTTTGTGTCTCCCATCAGCAAGTGTGTGCACAGCCTTGAGCTGTACTCATCAGGTTTAGGGTGGTTTTTATGGGAACTGATGCCCAAGCTAATCACAGGGACTTTCAAAGGAAGAGGCATGCCGAGATGTTGAGAATAAAGAAAATTTTTTCTGGCCAGGCGGTGGTGGCGCACACCTTTAATCCCAGCACTCGGGAGGCAGACGCAGGTGGATCTCTGTGAGTTCAAGGCCAGCTTGGTCTACAGAGCAAGTTTCAAGACAGGCTCCAAAGCTACACAGAGAAACCCTGTCTCTGGAAGAAAAGAAAAGAAAAGAAGAGAAGAGAAGAGAAAAGAAAAGAAAAAATTTTCTGGCAACGGTGAGGGAGGGGTATGACTCTTCCTGAGGTCACTGACAAATATGACCAATCATATTTTATTTGAAGAAATATGATTACTTTTAGAGTAATATTGAAAAAATAAAAATCCAATTATTAACTAGAACAGTGCCCACTATATCCACATGTATGGAGGTAGTATGTAGCCTGAAGGAAGCCTTTGGGTTATCTTTTTGTTGTTGTTGTTAACTTATTATGTATACAGTATTCTGCCTGCAAGTGTTCCTGCAAGCCAGAAGAGGGCACCAGGTCTTATTACAGGTGGTTGTGAGCCACCATGTGGTTGCTGGGAATTGAACTCAGGACCTCTGGAAGAGCAGTCAGTGCTCTTAACCACTGAGCCATCTCTCCAGCCCAGGTTAGCTTTCTTATATATGTGACTTATTCGTCTTACCATCACAAGTTATCTCAACACAAGAGTAATTATCTGAGAGGCATCATCACAAAGGATTATGACTTCAGAATTCCATTTTCCCGTGGGTGTAAGTCTCCATCAGTTGCTGTTGATTTAAGATCAATTTTTAAGGAATAAGGACTTGTACAATATACACTTTTATAATACAGAATGATTATAAAATAGCCTAATGAAATATAAAACAGAAAAATGCATCTTGCGTTTGAATCAACACTCTAGCATCTTTTCGTAATTTTAGAAGTCACAGCCAATGATGTACATAGAGGGGGTGGGCTGCGTTGGCTTTCCTTTAAGTGACTTTATAAGCTTAGTGATCTAAAGATACAGGGGTTTGTGTTTGTTTGTCACTGTGTTTTAATTGCCCAGTGACACTACTTCCACTTCCCTTCCTGAAGAATGGCGTTGGTCTTGTCCTTCTCCTGAGGTCTAAGCAGTTGCCCGAGACTGAATATTTCAACAGCTGCAGCAAAGCATCGAAGCAAACAGGACAATTAAACCGGTGCTCTGGTTCATAATCCCCGAAGGACACATCTTTGAGCATCAGTGGAAGATGCTGCAAAGAAGGAAAGTGCCCTGGGCTAACACAGGTGATCTGGTGTAAGGGCAGATCGTGTGGGAAGTAGTTCCCTAGGTACAAGGTAATGCTGTCTCTCCTGCCCTCATTCCGACTTCAAAGGAAAGGACAAGAATGGGGTCAGTTAGGGAATCAGGTCCTTTGCTATGCAACTATTGGAACTAGGACCACTTTTAGGTACAGGACTAGAGAGAACCTCAAATGTAGCCCTAATAACAAATGCAGTCATGTTCGGTGCTAAGCCCAAGCAATGTTAGGAACCTGTTTCTTCATTCAAGCCCCATACCTTTGCTATAGAAGTCACAATACTATATTGACATCCTGGGAATAGGAAAACTATATTAATTGTCCAATATCATACCTACCAAGTAGACAATAGTTCCATGTGGACCCGTTTACTCTTCCAGCCCATACTTTTGGTCTCCTAATCTATGGCTTTGGCATTTTTTTTTAAACTCATACTCATCTAGAATCCTCCATGCTATCAACCCACCAGGGATGACTGAATTAACATAAAAGTAACTCTGCCTATAGATATAGCATGAAACTACCACCTCTCCTTCTTAGCAGGTACATTTACCCCATAATACCATATTAAAAAAATACATTCTTTTGGCAAGTGTCTAGTTTGCCCTTTGATACCAAAGAGTATTTTGCAATCTTTGTAAGGAGACTGACAAAGGTCAGAGTGGTGAGAAATTAAGAAAAAGATGCTAAACAAATTAATATACAAGAAGCCTCTCTCTCTCTCTCTCTCTCTCTCTCTCTCTCTCTCTCTCTCTTGTGTGTGTGTGTGTGTGTGTGTGTGTGTGTGTGTGTGTGTGTGTGTGTGTGTGTGTGGTGTGTTGAGGGGAATGCTGAACTATTCAGAATGTTTACACATTCTAAGTCCATCGTCTCATAAAGAAAGCCTTCATTTGGCCTGTGGTGACCTACCCAGTAACTCACCCATTGCAGTAAGTCTCTTTCCTAGGAAAGACTTAAACTGGCCAAACTTCTTTATCCTAGAGTGGGGCATGGTTTCTGTAGTAGTTACACTTAATATGTATACACGGTGTTTCAAAAACATCCTCATGTCCTTCTGCCCAGAAGCACGTTTATGTTTCTCAGGTCTCAGCCTTCCATAAACCGTTTGGTTCGCTTGAGCTCTGCTGTTATCCTTTCGGTCTGTGACAACGACAAAAATGATACACGACTTCAACCGAATGCATCGCAAACTTTGTTTTAAGGGCAGAAAAGATTGAATAACTTTATTGGGGTGACACTCCATGTCCTTACAGAGGCTTCCAGTTGTAACCATTTTGTGTTTTCATTATAGTGAAAACAAAATGACATTTTATCAGATGGGGGGGGGAAGTTCACCATTAATGATTCTTATTCACAATGTTGCACTTGTGTAAGAGTGCTGATAAATTTTAAATTGCTCACAGACTCCTTTAGCAATGGGGGCACCTTCACGTCACCGCTTCTTCCCCAATGACAGACTATTAAACTGAATACTATTTGCCATATTGCAAAACTCTGCTTCCTAGATCTTCGGGCGCCTCTGTAAACCTTCGTCTCCTGTTAGAAAACACCTTAACACTTCTTAAAAACCCAAACAGCATGATGAATGGGGACTTCTTGGAGCTATTGTGTGGAGTTTGTGCTGAACCAAGATGCTGGCATCAACCCTCATCCTGGCCAGCCTTTCCCACCCAGGTGCTATCAACAGGCTTTTGTGGGGTGGGAGGGTAATCTGGCAACATGATAGAGATATGTTTTCAGTCTGAAGGGCAAAACAGACTCTATTTTACTCTCGTCATAACACGTTTGTCAAGCTAAAAGCCACTTCTAACGGAAATGAAGCTGGCTGCTTTTTATCTCACAAGCCACCATTATTTTTTTATTATTATTATTTTTACGTCTTTCTGCTGGCGGAATGATGAGCAGAGAAAAGTACAACGGCCTAAGTGTGGTAATGCATCAAAACTCAAGGGCAGTTTATTGACCATCAGATGTGGAAAGGACCAGGTTCATAGGCAAGTATCAACTATGGGGTATAGTCATCCTTTGCTGCTACCAAAGAGGAGCTTGAGGACTACTGTGTCCGTCAAAAGAGAAGTCACTATGAGGTTACTACTGCTGAATCAATGTGTGCTTAAGTCCTATGTAGCGGGCCAAGGAACTGACCAGAAACACCAAGTACGTGCTGAGCATGACTCTCGCTAAAACAGGTCTAGGCACCAAGTCCATGAGTCATGTACACGGTTCACCCAGATCATTTCTCCCCGCACAGCCTCACCACTGATGTAAATCTCAAACTGGAAGGATACCCAAGAAGGAGAGAGAGCCACAGACAAAACACGCATGCCGTGACTCAGAATAAAGGTATGCAGCCACTGACCAGCACACCAAGGTCCAGCAGGCACCCACTGTCCACATGTGTAGAACACAAGACCAAAAGGGAAACAAACTTCACAAACTGTTTTCAAGATAAGGTGTGGTGAGAAAGGGAAAGTGCTCGGTGTAATTGTTCTTTTCAAATATATAGCTGCGGAGTCCAAGTCTGTAGGTGAATTCTGCTGCCACGAGAAGGACGCCATAACACGTAGGCTGTGTGCTCAAAGAAATCACACCTTTCACAGCCACATCTAGGAACACGCATGTTTAATTATTTTAGTTAAGTCTATTAATCACTTTTAAGTGAGAGTGTAATAAAATTCTTGGTACTTATTCAACAGACCACTTGAATTCCATATTTATAATTCTATATCATTTTTTTAATAGCAGCTCTTAAAGGCTGGGGAGATGACTCAGTCAATAGCATGAGGACCTGAGTTCAGATCCTTCGTGCACATATTTTTAAAAAAAGAAATGTTGGGGCTGCAGAAATGGC